GTTTATCCCACAGACCTGAGGTTATTCTGCCCTCTAAGTCCCATTCTCTGAGCCAGGATGACATCATCACACCGCCGCCTCGTTCTAGGAGTGCCTATTCATCACCTCGATCATCATCGCCAGCAGCATCACCTGCGTGCGCACGCGCATGCATGCGCACACACGCACACACACACACCTACCTAACCAAAAGAAGATAAAAGAGATGAGAGCCTGAGCCAAATGTTCAGGACTGCAGCTTAAAGGGAAGCAGAGCCACAGACAGAGAGGAGATCCTGCTGGGGTAGGCAGAAACCCCTGACCTTTGCACTTCCATCAATACATCAGAATTAACCTCAGCAAACAAATCTGATGAGTCAGATGACTACGAAGAGAAAACAACAACATAAAAAGCAAGTGAGAGGAGACCCTCGCTGCCCCTCAAACACACACAAACATGCAGCTTCAAACTCCCGCGGAGGAGTGAAACACTTCCTCCCTCTTAGCCACCCGTTAATTTTAACTTCCCCTGCTCAGAAACCACTCACCCTGTTCCATTTACTGCTTGGCACATGACTAAATTACCCATGATGCAACATGCAGCACCAGAACAATAAATAACTTAAAGCCACATAAACATCAAACAGTGTAAGTGATGATTTTCTTCGTAGTCCAGTTCAGAGTAATGTGCTTTAGCTGTTTCATGAATGGACTCTAGGTGAATCAGGTTTAGAGTCGAGTAAAAAAAAACAACAACAACATTCATTTGAACTTCATTTGACATACAGGAGAAACTTTAAAAATTAAGATATGGTCCAACTGTGGACCACCACCCGCAGGAGGAACATGAAGGGTCCGGTGCAATGCGAATCGGGTGGCAGACCAAGGCGGGAGCCTTGGCGGTCCAATCCCCGGACAAGAAAACTAGTTTTTGGGACATGGAACGTCACCTCGCTGGCGGGGAAGGAGCCGGAGCTTGTGGCAGAGGTTGAGCGGTACCGGCTAGATATAGTCGGACTCACCTCGACACATTGCATTGGCTCTGGAACCCGAGACCTGGAGAGGGGTTGGACACTCTACTTTGCTGGAGTTGCTCCGGGTGAGAGGCGGAGGGCTGGGGTTGGCTTTTTGTTAGCCCCGAGACTCTCTGCCTGTGTGTTGGGGTTTACCCCGGGGGACAAGAGGGTAGCTTCCTTGCGCCTTCGGGTCGGGGAACGGGTCCTGACTGTTGTTTGTGCTTATGGGCCAAATATCAGTTCAGAGTACCCACCCTTTTTGGAGTCCCTGGGACGAGTGCTAGATAGTGCTCCATCAGGGGACTCCATTGTCCTGCTGGGGGACTTCAATGCTCACGTGGGCAATGACAGCTTGGCCTGGAGGGGTGTGATTGGGAGGAACGGCCCACCTAATCTGAACTCGAGCGGTGTTTTGTTATTGGACTTCTGTGCAAGCCGCAGTTTGGCCATAACGAACACCATGTTCGAACATAAGGATGCCCACCGGTACACTTGGTACCAGGGCAGCCTAGGTCACAGGTCGATGATAGATTTTGTAGTCGTATCATCTGACCTGCGGCCGTATGTTTTGGACACCCGAGTGAAGAGAGGGGCGGAGCTGTCAACTGATCACCACCTGGTGGTGAGTTGGATCAGATGGCAAGGGAACATGCCGCGTAGACCTGGCAGACCCAAACGCATAGTGAGGGTCTGCTGGGAACGCCTGGCAGAAGAACCTGTCAAGACGGTCTTCAACTCCCACCTCCGGCAGAGCTTTGACCACGTCCCGAGAGCAGTGGGGGACATTGAGTCCGAGTGGGCCTTGTTCCACTCTGCGATTGTCGAGGCGGCTGTTGCTAGCTGTGGTCGTAAGGTGGCCGGTGCCAGTCGTGGTGGCAACCCCCGTACCCGCTGGTGGACACCAGAGGTTCGGGGAGCCGTCAGGCTGAAGAAGGAGGCCTACAGGGCGTGGCTGGTCTGTGGGTCTCCGGAGGCAGCAGACAGGTACCGGATAGCCAAGCGGGGTGCAGCAGTGGCAGTTGCCGAGGCAAAATCTCGGGCGTGGGAGGAGTTTGGTGAGGCCATGGAGAAAGACTATCGATCGGCTCCAAAGAGGTTCTGGCAAACTGTCCGGCGCCTCGGGAGAGGAAGGCAGCAACTCGGCTCACACTGTTTACAGTGGGGATGGGGAGCTGCTGACGTCAACTGAGGCTATAGTCAGACGGTGGAAGGAATACTTTGAGGAGCTCCTCAATCCCACCAATGCGCATTCCGAGGAGGAACCAGAGCTGGGAGGCCTGGGGATGGACTGTCCGATCTCGGGGGCAGAAGTTGCTGAGGTAGTCAAACAACTACACAGCGGCGGAGCCCCGGGGGTGGATGAGGTTCGTCCTGGGTATCTCAAGGCTATGGATGTTGTAGGGCTGTCATGGTTGACACGTCTCTACAACATTGCGTGGTCATCGGGGGCAGTTCCTAGGGAGTGGCAGACCGGGGTGGTGGTCCCCATCTTTAAGAAGGGTGACCTGAGGGTGTGTTCCAACTATAGGGGGATCACACTCCTCAGCCTCCCTGGAAAGGTCTACGCCAAGGTACTGGAGAGGAGGGTCCGATCGATAGTTGAATCTCAGATAGAGGAGGAGCAATGTGGTTTTCGTCCTGGCCGTGGAACTGTGGACCAGCTCTATACCCTTGCAAGGGTGATGGAGGGGGCATGGGAGTTTGCCCAACCAATCCACATGTGCTTTGTGGATTTGGAGAAGGCTTATGACCGTGTCCCCAGGGGCACCCTGTGGGGGACGCTCCAGGAGTATGGGGTGGGTGGCTTTCTGTTAAGGGCCATTCAGTCCCTTTACCAAAGGAGTGTGAGTTTGGTCCGCATAGCCGGTAGTAAGTCGGACCTGTTCCCAGTGAGGGTTGGACTCCGCCAGGGCTGCCCTTTGTCACCGGTTCTGTTCATCACTTTTATGGACAAAATTTCTAGACGCAGCCGTGGTGTGGAGTGTGTCGAGTTTGGTGGCAGGAGAATCTCGTCTCTGCTTTTTGCGGATGATGTGGTCCTCCTAGCTTCATCCAGCTCTGACATTCAGCTCTTGCTGGGTAGGTTCGCGGCCGAATGTGAAGCGGCTGGGATGAGGATCAGCACCTCCAAATCTGAGACCATGGTTCTCGACCGGAAAAGGGTGGCTTGCCACCTCCGGGTCGGGGGAGAGGTCCTACCTCAAGTGGAGGAGTTTAAGTATCTCGGGGTCTTGTTCACGAGTGAGGGTAGGAAGGATCGGGAGATCGACAGGCGGATTGGTTCGGCGTCTGCAGTGATGCGGACGCTGAGCCGATCTGTCGTGGTGAAGAGGGAGCTGAGCCAGAAAGCCAGGCTCTCGATTTACCGGTCGATCTACGTCCCAATCCTCACCTATGGTCATGAGCTTTGGGTAATGACCGAAAGAACGAGATCGCGGATACAAGCGGCCGAAATGAGTTTCCTCCGTAGGGTGGCCGGGCTCAGCCTTAGAGATAGGGTGAGGAGCTCGGACATTCGGGAGGGACTCGGAGTAGAACCGCTGCTCCTCCGGATCGAAAGGAGCCAGTTGAGGTGGTTTGGGCATCTGGTCAGGATGCCTCCTGGACGCCTCCCCGGGGAGGTGTTTCGGGCATGTCCTGCCGGCAGAAGGCCCCCGGGTCGACCCAGGACACGTTGGAGAGGTTACATCTCCAATCTGGTCCGGGAACGCCTTGGGGTCCTGCTGGAGGAGCTGGTGGACAAGGCCGGGGAGAGGACGGCCTGGAGCTCCCTAATTGGGATGCTGCCCCCGCGACCCGGACCCGGATAAGCGGAGGAAGACGAAGACGAAGATATGGTGCAACAGTTCATTTATGTCACTAATTTCACTTAGAAGTTGAAACAAACCCCTACTTCCCACTGGAGGCATCAGCGGTGCGGAACGGCAGCGGAACAGTTTCCTCGTGAGCTTCGCTGCGAGCCAGTACACACAGGGAGAATCTCATCCGCTGAGCTTGACTCGCGAGATCACAAAATCCCTCGAGACTTTAAAGTTCATGGTTTGTTTATGCCATCCTGATGCCATCCGACATTAAACCAAAAAAAAAAAAAAAGGATATCACAGTTTGATGTCATTTCTGATGTTGTTCCTCTTCACTGTCAGAATTAAAGCCATGAAATACACGGCTGCACTTCTGGAACGATGCCGCGAGTAAGTAAGTCGTTAGGTCACGTGTTGACACAATCTACATGGATATGAAATCGCATCGCACTGAAACCGTGTGTGATTTCTTGTCTAGTCCTATGTTTAATTGCGGAAATTCACGTTTCCCAGAAGTGGCTTGTGGCAAAAATAGAACCCAATCCTAAATTTAGCAGCGTGATGTGCTGCTTCTCGGACGCACCTGTGAATTTCCACGCTGCCGCTGGTTTTAATCACCCCCATAGACCATGATGGATTCTTCAAGTGTCAAGTAGGGGTTTTACATGAGATAGACTCATTTCATGCAAAGCAAGATATTTCAATCCTGTATTTGTACTAATTGCGATGATTACACACAATTACAGCTTATGAATGCCCCAAATTCAAATCTCAAGACAATTGAAACATTGTAAAAGGGTTCTGGGCTCAAAGTGTCACACTCTAATCAGCTAATTAGTCCAAAACACCTGCAAAGGCTTCCTGAGCCTTTAGAAGGTCTCACGGTCTACGTTGAATTACTGAAATAAATGGACTTTTGCGCCATATTCAAATGTTTTGAGTTTCACGTAAAAAAACATTAAATTCCAAGGAATAAACTTTTTGTAAACAGAACTTACTTTTTGTTGGACTTTAATGCATTTTTCAAACTATTATATTAGTTTTTGTTCTTCAGGAGGAGAAAGATGTTTAGCAGGATATGCATAAAGTGTGACCGACGTCCTTCTGTCCATCATTACGTTTATCTTTATGAAGACTTCTCTGCTAGAAAACTCACAATAGTGCGGATGGAGATACTATCTAGATTAAATTTATCCAGACTCACGTAGTCGTGGAAAGCCTTGGCCTCACTGGAGTGTTCACATGTGTCTCTCCTCTCTGGAGCTGCACAGTAAAGATCCCAGAAGACACTGCAACACACAGGAAGTGACACCACAAATCAGCTTTCACGTCAAACATCACACAAGCTTGTCTACGCGGGATAATGATGAAGACGCAGTCGAAAGGTTGAATTGAAACAGCATCAGCATCTGCAGTCATTAGGCAGGAAGTTAACTCACCACCACCACGAGTGAAGGAACCCCGGAGGTTCTCCTAATGTGATGTTCTTCTCCCATCGGATCTTGACAGACAGACAGACAGAGACAGACAGAGACAGAGAGAGTGAGAGAGACAGACAGCTGCATCAGAAACTGGCAGCACATAAAACATGCCTGATGTCTGAATTACACGCTTTAGAAGGCTGAAGAGGATGTGAGGGAAATCCTATAAGATGTGCCATTAGGTAATTGTGTTATGGTTCTCTCGGATTCACAAGTGGATAAGTGGTTCTGTCTGCACCTCAGACCATGTCGTCACACAGATTTGAACATGTGTGTTTTCCTGAGTATGAGGTCAGAGGCATATGCCAGCCTGAGGTGCCTAATCAGGCCTCCGAACAACCAACTTCAATCTGCTTCAGACTGCACTACTGCTCCCTCAGAGTTTCACTTTTTACTTCTTTCCACCTTTTTTATTTCTAACCTATGATTTGTTTTAGCAGCAGCAAGATTTCTCCGTCCCTTTTCCTTCCATCATTCCTTCCTAAGCATATTCTCAGTAAAGTGACGAAGCATTGTGATGTGCATGAAATCAGCAGGTTTGTCATGTGACCTGAATTATAAACTATTACACATCACTTTGATAAATTCTGGAATTTGACAAATCAAGACCGAAAAACCAGGTCCTGTTGAAGATTTTAAAAAGATGAGATGCTTAAGGAATTATTTTCCTGCTGTGTGAGCCAGGTTTATTCTTCCATGTTGGTGAGTTTTAGTGATGTTTATTGTAGGAAGCATAATAGCTGATCACTGTGATCATAAATCATGCAAGTAACATGTTTACCACGGCATAGATCCCACTGCCGAACTGTGCCGAACTCACATTTAAGCTGCTTAAAATGGTAAATAGCATGTATTTATTTAATTTAACAAATATATACACAATTTAAAAAGTAAAAGGGTTATATATTCATATTGAAACTTATACGTATAAAATATAACGTTATCTCTCGTGTCATGTGATGTTATGTGACCGCTGTGGAAGCCGCGGTCACGTGATGCAAGTTCCATTTAACCGTTTTCTTTGACCAAAGAAGGAATGTGTCCTCCTAAGCAAGGCTCCTGCCTCACAAGACATCACCTCGCATGGCCAGGAGCCTTGAAATGGAGAAACACCCATGATGTCTGTGAGCACACCAACCTAGCTTGAATGCTAACTCAACCTGCAATATCACAGACCTGCAACCTGCAGTTAATGTCTGTAAACATCAAGCTATCTGTGGAAGAGGAAGGGAACAAAAAGGGATAATCTAGCAAAGTGATTAGCGTAGCATTCAACCATTCACTACAGCGGACTGATTCAACCTGTTGCTAACAGCAACATGACTCTTTCACTCTGCAACACTAATGAGCTGTTTGGCTTTTTCTAATCCGAGCATTTCCCCTTTTATTTTCTATCGGCTAATGCAGGAAATAGAGGTAGAAGACTATTTTCGCGTTCAGCCTGCATGTTAAACTCAGATTGACCGATCATATTTCAAAAATAGGTAAAAAAAAAGTTTCTCAGTGAACCCGCTCTTTGAGTCGGATGGAGTTAGACTATTTTAAACTTTAAAAACAAAGAGTGAAGCTGTAAAATCAGTGAAGAGGACCATCCATCCACCCATTTCCACACTGATTCAAATAGAAACTGATTTTGTCAAGAGACGATTTCACACACATTTCTAAATAAAAAATTAGATTTCCTGGAATTTGGGTCAAATAATTTCATTCTTGATGTCAACTTTATCAGACCACAGATGAGCACATGTTACATGAACAAACTACCAAGAAGGCTGACGGCCTCATCAGACTACGTTTGTCCTGATTGTAGTCATTTTTTTCAATGAGGAGTAAAAGAACAGAAGTATTGTACCACCTGCTCGTGAATGAACAAGCTCTAAAATAACAGGAAAAACTGAATCCTTGCAGTTTTAATCAGATTGTCCTGACCTCAGTTCAGAATCAGACGATGGAATGTTACGCTTTGAAGTTTTTTTTGTTGTTTTCTGAGAGACATCCGTCTCAGGAACTGCCTGTTTGTCCTGCGTACTTTGAGCAGTTGTAAACTTATCTGATCATTTGAAACATAGATAATTATTATTGGCAACATGAAAAAGAGGGTTTTATTTCTCACAATAGCACAGATGGTGCAAGAACATTTCAGAATGAGCATGCCATGCCTCTTTTCTTCAGACAGTTAGGTGAGGACATTGTTTTAGACTTTTTTCTATTGAGGAGCAACGGAAAAAGAAAAACACTGACTGTGCCTACATATTGTGCCTTCTTGTGGTCTGAATTCCTCTGAGGTTGTCTCATTTACCTTCACCACGCTACAGGATTATCTGATTCCATTTTGACCTCTGCTCTGTCGGTGATATGGTATTTACGTGCAGGTATTGTGATCTGGTTTGTGAATGCCATTGTGGTTTCTTGAGCCTGAGGATAGACTGTAAACTGATTTGGATGATAAAAGTGAAAAATAGGCTTAGAAAGACACGTTTCGCTCCATCTCACTACTTCAGACAGAGCTGCACAGAAGGTAAATGTCTTCCTAGTGTGTGCGTGTGTGTGTGTGTGTGTGTGAGCTGTATAGTGACTGTGTATATACGTGTTGCATTTGTAGCTGATGCATTCCCACACTTGAATGTGACACCCCCTATCCTTTTCATCTCTTGGATCTGTGAACCAGAGTAAGCGATACAGCGACCAGGAAGGAGTTTCACACAAACAGAGAGGTGTACGTGTGCACAAACACAAAGACAGAGTGATGAGAATCAGTGCCAGCTGATGAGGTAACCTTTTCCACCCTTTTCTCTCTTCATCTGGCTGAAATACAACAAGCCTCAAGCTGCCGTCTTCTATGTTGTAATTTGCTATAATTTACTCCGAAGTACAGTAATCGAGTGGCCTCGGTTTCACCTCGCCACCTTTTTTACCCTGCAGAATTAAAGTGTGGAGGAGAGAAAAATAAGCAGCAGCGGGACCACAAAAGATGAAGCAGAACAAAACTGAGCACTGTAACTGCTGTTGTGTTCCAGTTCAGGTCTGACTAAATGCAGAACTGATGTTAAAACGCCTCTCTGCTGCAGTAACCTGTGGACTCAGGGCCAAGGCCAAAACTGTTCAATTAGCTGCTACGCTTACTGGACTTACTGCACAAGACAACACATAAAGACCTGTAACTTCTCACAACTCACACACACACACACACACACACACACACACACACACACACACACACACACACACACACACACACACACACACACACACACACACACACACACACACACACACACACACACACACACACACACACAAAATCTGGTGTAAAGTTTTAACACTTACCTCCGAGAGGAAGGTCTGTGCTGACTTCTGTGCTCCCACATGCAGCAGGTACTCGTACACGTAAAGAGCCAACCTGCGAAGAATACAATACAAAGTTCTTGAGTTTTGTTATTAGGACTCAACAAGGCTCAATTTAGATATTTTTTTATCATTTAATATAATCGTACAAAAAAGGGAACCCCCCCAACCAATAGAACCAGATTTTCACCTTCTATTCAAGCATGGGTCAAATGTTCCACACATAATTAACGGGATTCAAAACAACACCATCATTTTATTTTGGTGAGCTAAAATGTTATTTCACATTTTTTACATATTAAAGTCATTTTAAAGGTCAATTCATCTATGCTTCTCTTTGAAAATGTGATAATTCTACAAATTAAACCTACAGTACATAAATATGCACAGTGGCGCAGTGGTTAGAGCTGTTGC